TGAAGTATTAATTCCAATGTTTATTAATTCTGAAACTTCTTAAAGAGAGTTGATTCAAATTTTCACATGAAAACAATTTTCCAAAGATACATAAGAACGTCATATAATGTGTTTGGAAAGATGGTTCAGAGAATTATTTAGTGTAAGAAAATTCTCATTTGGGACCCTCCTTAGTGAGTTTTAAAAAGTTATTGAGATGCCTAGTTTGATGATAGCAATTGGAATTTTCCTTTAAAGGTAACATTTTATTTGAAAATAAAAGTGAAAGGCAAACAGTGGCATCCACTTCTTCTGACAGATGGTTTATGCAAAATCCCCAATGCTCAGGAGCTAGAAAGATAGGCAATGTCCGGGGCCAGGGAGGGGTTCATCTGAGACCTCTGCAAGGCTCATATTTCCCTCTTTACACTGTTTTGCAGGGGCTCACTTTGCTCACTCTATTTTTAAAAAAAAAATCATCATTGTTTATATACATTCATATTCGGTAGGTGAATGTTTCTTTGGTTTGCATTTTTGTTTCTGACAGCTAACATGATAACCTTCATGTTCAGGTAGAGGGCAGCTTTGGACAGAGTGCCTGGTTTGTCATTTAAGAGATCTATTTCTATCTTAGCTCATTTATCTGATGCCTGATGCTAAATCAAGTAACAGAAATTGGTTAGACACTTGCAGTAGGAAAACATGGCTGGCAGGCTTAAGCATCTCTGCACTGAGTGTTTCTATCTTTATTTCCATTTCTCCATCCATCCACTCATCCATCCATCCATTTCTATCATCTGTCCATGTGTTTAATTATCACCTATTTATCAACACCTGTCATGAACTAGGAGACAAAACAATCGCTTACATCTCAATAAACCGTTATGTGACCTCCCATACTAGACCTCTGAATGCCTTTCTGCGACTTTTTTGTAAAACTCATTTTGTAAACATGAAATGTTAACCATAAGGTTGCATTTAGGGCTTTTATTTAAAATTAAACCTGATACTAAACATTTATTCACATGCTATATTCTTTTACATAGTTTTTCAATCTAGGATATATATTTTTCCTCATTCTATGTAAAAATTAAATGCAATGGTAATAATCTACATAGTCAGAGCAGATACAATAATGCAGGGGAAAGCACAAAATGCAGCAACATGCAGTAAAATTCTTGTATAGATAAAACTGAAGCTAGTCTAAATATGAAAACAAAATGTGATCGGTGAAGTGTGATCAATTTATAAAAATAAATATCATTAATAACATTCACTGACCTTAGGCCTCCTATCAAGGTTCAACGGGCACATAGCAAACATTTTTGAATTCCATAAGTGTATAGGAACAAAGTCAAGATTTTCTGTAAACTGGAAAAAAATCTCTTTAACCGTACATGGTCCTCTTAATAATGTTTACTGGAACAAAAATCAAAGCTCATTCCCCTTAACCGTACATGGTCCTCTTAATAATGTTTACTCTTAAAGCAATTTAAGATCATTGTAAAGTGATATTTCTAAGTGATCATTATGAAACAAAAGAAGTTATATGTTCTTTTATAATATTTGATGTTAGACAATTTTTAAGACAGCATCTAAAATAGCTGCATTTCTAAACGTGTTCCTGCTGGTAAATGAACCAGAAGAGAGATTTTTATTGTCACATTTGCTAATACTGTCTCATTTAATTAGGTTGATTTATTATTACTTCCTTTAAAAAGTTTATCTTGTTGGGTCTCTCTAAATATTACCAATGTCTATTTGCCAGCTGTTCTAGGTTCCTTAAAGGACAGTTGATATTTAATTTTGTAAACTGATCAACTCTATTGTAAATATTCATAAATATGGCCAATTGTCAAATGTCTCAAATGATGCTCATTTTAATGACCATTTAGTCACAAACAGAATATCAGAAATAGGTTTAACCTGGTGTAAACTTTATATGTTTCATGGAACATCTCTCTAAACACACTTTTTTTCTGATGACATTGGTGAATTAAAAAAAATATATATAACTTTAAAAATAATTAAATCAATTGCAAGTGAAATATTTGTCAAAATAAACATATTCAGCTCATCATAACTAATGCTTATTGTGCTACTAGCCTGAGAAAGCCCTAAGTTTACCAGGTTTTTAGATAACACAGGTTAAGTCTGTGTCTTTTATTGACTAAAAATACATTTTCAAGACTCTATACTCCACATAAATGGTAATAATGTATTTGATATATGGGATTCTAGAAGGACTTTGACAAGATATTCATTCCTATTTGAGCTTTTAATGATAAAGAATGGCTTAAAAGGAAAAAAAAAGAAATGTGTTTTCAGCAAGCTATAGGATTCTTTAAATTCAGCCAATGTTTGCCTATAGAACCAGAATATAACAAGTTGACATAAGTTTAAATTTGTTTAGAAGCAGGTGTTATATTTAATTTTTAAATCAGGGGAACATGGCAGTATCTGTGCGTGTGTATCAAGCCTGTGCATCACCTACACTATGGAGTCTAGCATTTCTATTATTTAGAGACATACATTTGTATTAAATTACAATGCTAGCTCTTCAAGTTTGAATAACGTCTGACAACAACCAAATAAAAACTTGTTCTTGGGAGACTGTAGCCCCTTCAATAGAGCACATCTTCATGGAAAATATATTAATATTTTAGGCTTTAGAGTTTGTTTATTTTTGTTAATCTTTTGTTGATATGGAATGCATTCATAAATGTACTCCATCTATTAAGGATTGACTTTTTAGATATTTTTCACTCTGGTACAAATCAAGACCAGATCTCTAAACAGAACTTCCAATGTCCTCCAAACTGACCAGTTATTCCTCCATCAATGGTAATCACCATTTTGACTTTTAGTAGTATTGATTGCTTCTTGTTCGGTAAGTATACATAAACATCACCAATCATATATAATGTACTTTATGGATCTGATTTATTCCTCTAGCTATGATGTCAGTGAGATTTATCAGTGTTGTGTATTGTGATTTTTATTATCATTCTTGTTATGACTATCACAATGCATTTATACAATCTACCCTGTCGGATATGTGGGGAGTGTCCAGCTGGTGGAGACTAAGGGACACTCACATTTGCACACTGCTGTCAGGTCACATATCCTGGTGCAAGGCAGTGAGTGTCTCACACAAATTTCTATAGGACTGTGAACATGTGTCTCTTCTCAGCCTTCTGGCGGAGATGAAGGGCAGGGCTGTGAAGGCCCAGTAAACAGACCCCAGGAACACACCTGCAGTTCAGGCAGGGCACAAAGCTGGGCACTTTGGTTTCTTGTCACTGCAGTGCATGGAAGCCTGGAGACCCACAGACACCCTTGGGGGAGTCAGTAGAGGGTACTCAGGATGTGTGGGGTAGAACTTGTCCTACCTAAGGCTCAGCAGAATCTGTAAACCAGACAAGCTCCTGGAATTTTCAGTTCCTTGATTTTCAGAAACATGATTCTGTGCTGAGTTTCTGCGGGTTGGGTCCTCACTGTCTTGCTGCATATTGGTATGAGCACCTGGTGTCACATTTGATATTCTTGACGAGTCCAGTTTGCTGATTTTGCAAGTCGTAGCTGCCTTTGAAGACTCTGATTGATGTTCCGTGCTTAGCCCTCCCATCACAGTCTGCTTACTACTAGCTCCATTTTTTCCTTCGCTAATTTCCATGCCTCGAGAGGAGAATGGAAGCAGGGCCGGGGAAGCTTGGGGTACTTGGTTATTCCCTCCTGTGATAAAAATTCACTTATTGTTTCTAAAACTTAATGTTAAATCAAATATTTCCATGCACGCCAATGCCAACACACCTGATGAGCACACATGGAGAGTTGAAATCTATACATTCTATTTACACAAAATATGGGAAAGAATAAAGACACAGAGGACACTGTCATTTCCAACATCTGTTTTCAAATCATGTTCCTGTTCAAAAGTTTGGAAATGATTATTCCTTGGTCAACTAGTTTACCAAAAGACAAATCGCCACCACTTACAAGAGTGTAGACTCCAGACGGAGTGACTGTAGTGTAATCAAATGTACTGCGTCTGTGGGATACCATGCTGCTTCTCCATGGGGATTCTTTGGCTAATAAGACAGAGAAAGACGGGCCTCCCTGGTGGCGCAAGGGGTTCAGCACCACACTATGAAGCTGTCCGCAGCCTCTGCAGCACGAGTTCCATCCCCGGCCAGCCAGGGAGAAACCACATGGCGAAGCAGACCTCTCCCGTCTTGACTGCTGCTTCCCTCAGCAGTGGATTTCGGTCAGTCTGCCTGTTCTGCTCCCCGCTCTGTCTATGGTGGGTCCTCTCCCCCCGTACCACATCTCTGGCCTGTACCCCAGCTCTTGTATGCATAACTAAATAAATCTTTAATAAAAAAAGACAGAGAAAAATATTTACAAGTAAATCTTTTTATCTCTAATACAAGCAAGCTGAACAACCTGATGGTCTTCATCAATATTGGTACTTACTGAAGATCTTTACTTTCTGAATTAACCATGGAAGTGGGGACAAATCTTTTATGCTAATATTCATGGTAAAATAGTTTTTTTTTTTTTTTACGCAGTTGAAGTCGAGAAACAACCTATTTCTACATTTCAGTTAAAAAACTGAAAATGCTTTGACTTCTAAAGATTAAATTAAAAAAACAGTAAATAAATATGTGATATGATTTGTTATCATCAGTTCAAGCAGGTAATGCCTATGATACTCACTGATCTCAAGAATAGCTTAATTTTCTTCCTCTGAAATATTTTTTTTTTTTTGTCTACACCTATGTGTTACCACAATTTTCATGAACACTTGAGCCAAGACCCTTGGAAAATAACTTTAGCAACTGCACACACCTTAGCAAGCCATGACCCAATGCCCAGTCACTGCCCATCATGAGAATGATTCCCTGGTTCCCTATTTATCATCCCTGCACCCTGTTCACGTGAGGCCATTGGGTTTATCTAGAAAGGTGAGAAGCCCCTTCAATCCCAAATCTCACTAGATAGTCAAACACTGATTCACAAATAAACAGATTACTTTCTCTCTCAAAAACAAGTACTTATTTAATTATGGATTATTATAAATTCTAATTCCACATTGTGAAACTGTCACGGTGGGTCCCCAGGAAAGGGGGAGGTTCCAGGTTTCCTGCCCCACCCAATAGGAGGGTGGAGCTGGGCAGGGAGAGAAGAAGCTGCAGAGGAAACTGAGAAGGAAGGAAGCAGGATGGAGCCAGGAGGAGACCTGGAGGAGGCACATGGAGCCGAGAGACGTGAAGAAATCATGCTTGTCTTGTGGTCGTGGACAGGATGACACAGATGTGGGTGAGACCCGTGGGGAGGTGACAATGACAGTTTTTTATCTTGATGTTGATTTTGCACTTTTCCTTCCGGGCTTGTCTGGTTGTTTCTGACCCTTTTCTGTGGGTCCCACTGGAAGATGCTTTAGACTTGGGGCAGCTTTGGGGCCTTGTTCTGGGCCCATCCTGCCTGAGTGGCCATTTACCCACGAGGGGACGGGTCACTTTGGGTGCTTGCTTTAGAAACTAGATTCTTTGCCTTTCCTGTGTTGTTTCCTATTTGTATCAAAGTTCCTCCCCATTAAAGTCTCCCATGTTTTGTGTTGATGCGGCGGATGGCAGAACCCGTTCAGACCAGGCCGGTTTGCGGGGTTTGGGTTTGCCCCTCTCCCTGCCCTGTAACAAAACTGAAAGCATATTATGTACCAGTTTCATATTTTTCACCAATTCCTCGAAATTCTCCTTTATAATTTCTCTGTGTTTTGAACGGCACACGTTGTCCAGAATATACATGCTAGGAAGAATTTTCTAATTCATTTGCTCTTCATTCATTACTCAACTATTCAGCTGTAATCACTTTCTTTTGGGTAAAGATTTATTCCTTTGTTTAAACTTTTATTTACACACTCTTGATTTTCTTTTCTTGAAATCCGATATACAGATGTTGCATTTTTTCAGAATCACTGGCTCTCATCAAACTTAGATGACAAGAAAGTAGAATTTCTAATGGCTCTTCAGGTCTCACCAATGCCTGCCTGTATTAAGAGAAATAAGTGATATTTATCTGTTTCTTGTTGTGCTCCATATTGTAATTTATTACTAGATTCACTATCTGATGTGTTCTTAGTCACTTGTCCATATTGTCTACTTGTCACAAAACTGTTTTACTGGTTCTTTTTTGATAAGATTTATTTATTTATGCATACAAGAACTGGGGTGCAGGCCAGAGGTGAGGGAGGTGAGAGGATTCACCAGAGACAGACTGGGGAGCAGAACAGGCAATACACAGCTGAAGGGAGCAGTGGGGAGGCAGGAGAGGTCTGCTGCACCATGTGAGTCAGCTCCCTGGTAGGCATCGGAACTCCTGTTGCAGTGGCTGGCGATAACTTCACGCTGAGACCTAACCCCTTGTGCCACCAGAAGGGCCCTGTTTTCTGGTTCTTGGAGGCCCTCGCTGTCACTCTACATTGACTCCTTTAAAACTGTGTGGCAAATCATATTATTCCAATTAATTACTAAGTATTGGAAGCAAAGTGGTAATGTGGTAACAGCTTCAGTTTGCAAAGGATAAAGCAACTGGCTTGTCTCAAGATCAGTCATGAGAACAACTCACCCACCCTACCCTATATTGTTACTGGCACAGTAACAATAGTCCCAATGCCTCAAGTTCTCAGCTTAGAATAGGAGGGTTAGATTTTTGCCTGTGGGAGAAGACGGCTAAAGTGCTATTGAGAATTTTTTTAAAGTGCTACTTAAGAAATGCAAAGTGGGCTGGAGAGAAAGAGATTCAATCCTTTGGCAAGAGGACAGGCGAAGGAAACAGAACCCAACTAACAGGTATCAGGGCCGGCCCCTGGGCTGCAAGACCTCAGGGAGACCCTGAAACACCAGTTCTCTGAAAGACCCAGGAAGAAAACATCCAGGGAGTGACCTGGTCTCCACAGACATCTGCCCAAGGACAGAGGTGGCATCGCCCTTTGAGGGGGCAGAGCTGTGAGTCATATGTCACTAATAATATTCAGCTCGGATATTACTGATATATTAGTTATCCTAAGTTGACTTTATGGGCTCTAAAAGAAACAAAAAGTAGTGCGGAGAGAACGCGTGCCTTCTAAACAAGATGAAAGCCTAGAACGTCCTCGTTATCAAACTTGGCACTGACTTTTTACCTCTGTAAACCCTGCCGAACAACCGCCAGTTTATACGTTACCAGATCGAAAGTCCTTTCATTGGCTTTTTTCACCTCTTTTCTATAAACCTGTCAGGTCAGATTTTCTATTGTTCCTCTTCTTACATGATCTTCTGTTCTTTCTACTCACCAACTTAGAATAAACTTTTAAAATGCGTTTTCTAAACCATTCATTTTTGCTGTTAATTATACCAGATTTTCTCATGCTAATTCATCATTTTATACATAATTGTACTTTATTGTGAAATAGAAAAATCCTGATGATACAATACATGTCTTATTCTTATTCTATGTCTCTTGCAGTCATCCTGAGATTACAATGCATTAGAATAAAAATTGTTTTTTATTGATTGACAGTTTTCCAAAAAGTTGCAGAATATTTCTCCATACAAAAAGAAACATCTGAATTATTCTTTTGCTTAAGTACACAATTAATGGGTTTTCTGAAAAGAAAGAACATATAAAATTATTTAGATGCTTTTCCCAGAGTGGAATTGAAAACATGAGGGAAAAAATGTAATGCTTTTTTTAACACACAACAGTTTTAAAATAACTTTATTTTTATTTAGTGAAATATTGTATAAAGCATCATGCTAAAAGTTGGATAAATTAGGCAACAACTTTATTCATCTGTAAGACAAATAGTATCATGGTCTTAAGAGAAATTAAAACAAAACTGTGTTTTTCTCTTTAGTGACATATCCACAAATCAAAGAAATTGTGTCATTTAAGTTTATACATTTGAATATCTATCTATATGCACATGCATATATCTATATGCATATATTTTATAATTTATATCTTAAACTATTTTGAATAATTGAAAATATAGTCACCACCCATTTTCCTGGATTAATAGCCCGGCTATTTCACAGGGACAAAAAACCTCCTAACCTGTAAGTTCAGCTGCATCACTTAGTGTGCTTGGGAAGTCACAGTGTTTCAAAAGAATGACATAGATCGCCGGTTTCCAATCACCTGTCTGAATTAATCCATATATTTGCCAACTATAAACAGGTGCCTTTTGTGTACCGCTAGTAGATTATAAAAATTAGAGCAGCCAATCAAGACTGCTATGTACTTCACATTTGAAAATCTAGTATCAACTTCTTTGAAGATTGTTGCATTTTTTTTCTGTTAATGTATTTTCAATTTGACAACACTAAATATTGCAGCAAAGTGCTAGGCATCATACAGAATTAGAGAGAAGAGAGACCTAAATACTCACAAGTAGAGAATCCCAGGACAGTGATGGAGGGGGCAGCCTCTCCTGGACCTTGAGTAGGAGACTCGAAGCCTCCCAGGTTGCTGTCGACACAACAACAAACTGGATGAAAGCATTCAGGAGCAACCAACTCCCATCCCCAACCTCAGTCATCTCTGACATTTATTTCTGGAAGAAAATAATATTTCTCGGGTACATGGAAAGAAGAGACACAATCTAGAGGCAGCAGCAGTGAGGTGGAGAATTGGGGAGAAATCGCCACAATTGTTAGAGGTTCCATGTTGCAGAATCGTTGAAATAAAGCCTGTATTTTATAAAGAGAATTTACATTATTGTTGTATCTCATATTTCTGTGGAGCATAACCAGATGAACACGCAGTATAATTCAAATGACAACATTACTGTCCAATGCTGTTATTTGAATATATCAATATATCCCATTTATTTCATTTAAGGATGAGTCTGGAGCTTCCTGATGTTGCTTAACTACTGGCTGGAAGTTTGGACATCCTAGAGAGGGTGAAAGGAGGGAGCCTTGAGCATATCATCCTGAAAATTTGGTTCCCTGTATGATAATTCATATTTGAGATTACATATATTCAGTAGGAAACCTTTGCTTATAAGCAACAATGGAATTTCTAGTTCTGACAGAGAATACACTTCAGTTAATACTAATTTTGACACTGTGTACACCTCAGGACCTCCAATAGCCTGCTAATTTAGAAAGATGATTTTCTGAAGACAAACTGGAGAGTAAGTTATTAAAGCAATTATTTCTAAATGAGAAATGAGGAATCTTAAATCCCTTCATCCAAATCTCAAGTGGCTAACGCATGACTCTGCATGAATCAAAAAGATTCTTTGGATTTCCAAGCTGACCTCATCTGGAAAAGCTGAAACTGACATTTACACTTGCCATCTTCCTGAGCATAAAGAAAAGAAAATACCTTTTGACCCTTTTACCTTTAGTCAACATTTACATCATTAATATCTGAAAGTAAATGGAAGAATTACAGTTTGAAGGTGTATAAAGCTAATTAGCACACAAAATTATGAGTTTTGCCCTTTTTTGCTGTATAACACGCAGCTGACACAGTTCAGTAATTGATGCAATTTCTGACCTTTCCGCCAGTAACTGCCCCTCTCCCTCTGGGAACCCAGGACTGTGATGAACTTCAGTCATTCCCGGAGCTTGGCAAGTCTGGCTACGTCTTCCCACACACAAACTTCTCTCTCTGCTAGTTTGTGACTTGTAAGGTTTTCCACAACAATCCTATTCCCAGATTCTACTCCAAAGAGAATATCAGGAGTGGAATCAAATCAAACCACCTCTAATCTATGACAGTCAGTATAAACCACACTAACATTTCTGTTGGTACCAATGTCTTTTTTCTTGCCTTTTTCTTCCTGGGTTTATCTTTATATTAGAGAATTTGGTCTGTAGGATTTTTCCAAATCAATTTTATGCTTAATTTAACTTTTATGTTCTTCTTGCATTTGTGTTTCTGTTCTTCAAGTTTCTATAATGACTTTGATACAGTAACTTAGTGAAAGTTTACTTAGTATCTGGGAAAAGTTAATTCATTTTTTATAAAGTATTTCATTTACTATCAGTAGCTATTTTAGGCCCTGGGAGAATTTACCTTATCTCCGTTATTTTCACTCTCTTCAAAGTAAACAGAGGCAGGTATTGTGATTACATCTTGGAAATAGGAAAATTGAACCCTGGAAAGTTAATGGCTTGTCAAGGTCATTTGAACTTGAAAACACAGCTGAATCCATATTTCATATGTAGAAGAAAGATTTAAAAAATAATTCAATATAATCATATGTTTGGGTATTTGCAAAAGGTTACAATTTTTGAAAATCAACAGAAATATAAGCTCTGCCATGGCACCGAGGCAATCAATGCTAATGAATATTATGTAGATTTATGTGCAACAAGAGCCAGCCAGCCAAGGTTTGAATACATAAGAAATATTCTATAATTTCTCATTTCCATTTTTACCATGAACTCATTGGTGAAGATGGAAACTTTGTCTCTTTGTCAACTCTCAGATACACTGCTTGGCATCTACTTCATTCCTTACAGGGACTCTAATGACAGGGAAATACTAATACTGTGACTGGCAAACACTCTTCCATTAGCCAGTTTCATGGAAGAGGAATCTTTCTGACATTTGACATGATAAAATTATTTCTATATCCATGCAAACTCTACTTTGTAAATTATTTAGCAATATTGATTACCTTATCTGTTCAAATCATCTGCAGTCCTTATATTTTAAAGCCTACACTTACGTAAATATTTGGATTAGTTAAAAGAACTACCTACATAGCATTTTCTGATTTTCTCATTAAACATATGCTTCTGAAAATCACATTTCCATGAATTTTGCCAAGTATTCCTTGTTATAACATAATTCAAGTTTGAGAACATTCACATGATTGTTTGATTGATTTATGCCTCATAAGGAGACACGGAAATCATTTCTGCCCCACTTTTAAAAATTATAGAAAATTATCACTATTAAATGTTCTGTTTCCGTGTAATGGTTACGTGATGTTTAAAAGGTTGCTAAAAACAAAATCTCTTTTAAACCAGTTTTAGTGACCTTGCAAATGAAATACACTGTTGTTTACTGTGTTATGTGGCTGCATTTTAAAGGGCACTCTAGGTCACGTTATAACACAATTTACAAGAAGATAATATTTTAACAACCAAATAGTTATCTGTCTTGAGTTGTATTCATTTTCCTGTACTTCAAGATTTTTGGAAATGTCATGATCAGAATAAGAAGAAAGAGCAGTTTATTGTAATCAAAAAATGAATAAATATTTTCCTGTTCAAGAAACATTAGGCAAATGTTAAAAAAATGGTAGCGTATAAAATACCTTTGAAGTTTTATTTATTACAAGCATACATTCCCCTAAGCTGTCATGCCATATAGGTAACTTTAAAGGGCAATCTCTCATGCTCTCACCATTGTAGTGAGTTTATATTACCTGATACAAATACAATTACTGCAAATGACTGGGGTAGAAGTGACTCATTTCAGTCTAACACTTCCATCCTGTCCAAAACAAAGAAGTGACGTGCGGCTTTTTAAGCTTCATTTGTTTAAGGCTTATCCTTGACAACACTGTGAAATGTTAGAGCTTGAAATATTCTATATTAATCAAATTTCTAAAGAGAAAAAGAAGTAACAGAATACAGATGATTGGTAGATGGTGACAAACATACATAGTTCTATTTTTTAAAAGACTTTTTTTTTTTTTTTTTTGCATGCAAGAACTGGGATATAGGTCAGAGGTGCAGGGGGTGAGATGATTCACCAGAGACAGAGTGGGGAGCAGAACAGGTAGATCTACTGAAATACACTGCTGAGGGGAGCAGCGGGGAGACAGGAGGGGTCTGCTGTGCCATGTGGATAGCTCCCTGGCTGGGGATCAAACTTGTGCTCCAGTGGCTATAGATAGCTTCATAGTGCTGAGACTTAACCCTTTGCACCACGGGGGAGGCCCTACATACAGTTCTTAATAGCAAGGCATGGGAGGGACTGGCTCACATGACTGGAGGCTGAGAAATCCCCGGGTCTTCCGTCTGTAAGCCGGAGACCAGGAAAGCATGAGCGTAGTTCCAGCCTGAGCTCACCCACCCAAATTCTAACCTCTTCCTGCAGTACCTCATAGACACAGCCTTAATTTTTAACTAGATATCGGTGCATCCTATGGCTCAAACAAGCTGGCACATAAAACTAACCTTCACATGTTCTATATTTCAAAACATATGTAATTTTTATCACAGCTCAAGCTTCTTGAGTCCATGCAGTATATGAAAAAACATGATTTTATATTTAAGGTGTCAAAAGAAAATCATATACATGAGCTACCCAATCCAGAACTTTAGTATAAAATGGAGTTTGACTTATACTTGGTTCATGTTAGCGCTGAGTTAAAATGTTGAGTAGGGAGCAACAAAGGAAACAAAATCATTTACTGCGAAAATATCCAAGGGAAAATAGAATCTGAAAGACCAGAAAGACCAGATTCTTAGCAATTCCCCTTAGCAAATTAGCCAGGTAGCTAACTCAGATAGTCAAGCAGTGCCAATTCTTATTCATAAAAGTAATAAAATACATTTGTGAAGATTAAACACACTATTCATAAAAATGAGTGCAAAAATACTAGACTACAAATATGCAAGTGTGCAATTTTTTTCCCATCTTCTTCTCCCTTGTTCTCCCATCCCCTGCTGTGCGTCATGCTCTGCTCCGAAGCTCATCCAATTGGAGTCGGCAAGTATGAGTAGCATCTGTGAGGCTCCAAACCTAATCCTTACGACGTATAGATGGAGACCTTGACTCCCTGCTAACAGATGACCTTGAGCTCCAAGTGTCAGGCAACCAAGGGCAGTTTTTATTTCTGATACCTAGGTGTGATTGAGGGGAATACATTTGTATTTTTATATGATACATTTGCCTGATCTATCTAATATGTGATAGAAGCGGCCTAATATTAAAAAGCAATATTGCCATGAACGGGTATGTTTAAGTTAGTATTGCCATTTAGTGGATCATTTTGGAAGCATGCATTCTTCATTTTGTTGAGTCATTCTTCTCTCTTGAAATGGAACATTCCCTCGTTTTCTTTCCACCTTCTCAAAAAGCTTGAAATGCACATGCACTTGCACTCTGGCGGTGGGCACAGCATCCAGCTGAGCTGGGGGAAGCATGCACCTCATCTTGTTTTCTGTTCCTCCTAAGAATTTAATTAGCTAATTAGCTTCTCAGGTGTAAGCAACAGATGCCTCACATCTGCCCATAATGTGTGACTAGACTCTTTGGATGCAGTCTCTGTTGGCTTTTTCTTGCTCACATGATTCCAAGGAGTCCTGAAGCTAATATGCCGGCAGTCAACATGGTTCTTCTCTTGCCTTCCTTTTCGAGGTCCTTAGCTTTCCCCTCGCTCCATAACACTTGCATGTAAAGATCAAGATTTTGTTTGTGTTCAGAGTAGTCTGGTGTTTATATTCCAGATATTTTCTCCAAATTTCTTGGAAAGCGTGTTAATTGTTTCTTCT